CAATAGTAATCCCATCACCCTCTTCCAGCATCCACTTGTGCTCACTCGAGAGCGAGTTTGGTGTGATGGTTAGGAACATGGACTCTTACCTGGGAGAACCAGGTTTGATTCCCTACTCCTTCACATGCAGCTGCTGGTATGACGTTGGGTCAGTCATAAGTCCTTTCAGAGCTGTTCTCTCAAGGGCAGTTCTTGAGAGAGCTCTCTCAGCCCCACCTACCTCACAGGCAGTGCTCCCTCTAAGCTGTGGAGTCCTGTGAGCAAAAATTCTACTCTGTGAGCTACTGGCATTAAAGTCGTGAGCAAGCAACTTGACTACTTCATCAATTAGTCTGCTCTGGAGCCGCCCTTCCTGAGCGAAGACAAAAATGTGTGAGCCGGAGGCTAAAAAACTGAGCTAGCTCACACTAACTCAGCTTAGAGGGAACACTGCTCACAGGGTGTCTGTCATGGGGAGGGGAAGGGAAAAAGGGATTGTAAGCCACTCTTAAGACTCCTTCAGGTAGTGAAGGGCGGGGTATAAATCCAATCTCCTCCTCCTCTTCTTCTTCTCCTTCTCCTTCTCCTTGGGAGAAGAGATGTGTAAGATCCCCAGGCAGAAGCAAAAAGGAGAGCTATGCGTAACCCTTCTTGAAACCCTTCATTGGGCTTGTCTTTTCCTATTTCTTACTTCTCTCTTTCCTTCTCCAATGTGTGGCCCTTGAGCCCTCTGGTCGTCCTGCTGTTTCCTTTTAGCTTTCTTCCGTCTTTAGTAAGTCATGTCGTGAAACGCAGAAGCTGTTTCTGTGAGCTTCCTGCTGCAAAAGTTTGGACATAAATTACTTGAATCAGTCAGTGTTTCCTCAGAGTCTAGTTGCCGTAGTGTTCAGTTTTCACTTTGGGGCCCAGGAGAGTGTTTACCAATACCAATGGCATATTTCTGTCAGAATGGAAGCAGACTTTGAATGGATCCTTTCTGCAAAACATTAAGGTATGCAGGGAAAGGCAGACATTCAGCAGTGGACTTCTACACCAATGGCTCTTAGGCTATAAAGGAAAGTACAGCGTACTTTCAAATGTTCCAAGAGATAGGGTTGCCAGGTCTGGATTGAAAAATACCTGGAGACTTTGGGGGTGGATCCAGGAGTGGGTGGGGTTTGGGGAGGGGAGGGGCCTCAGCATGGTGCAATGCCATAGAGTTCACCCTTCAAAGCAGACATTTTATCCAGGGGAGCTGATCTCTGTTGACTGGAGACCGGTTGGAAAAGCTCTTCGGCTTTCAAACGGAGATGAGCACCGCAACCCTGGAGTCGGATTCGACTGGCTTTTGAGCAAGGGAACCTTTACCTTTTACCTTGGTGGTTCTACATCAGAACTACCTGAACACTGAGAAGGAAACAATGATTTATGGACTCGTCTGGCTCAGCTCTGAATTCTTGGGGTGTGCTGAAGCAAGCTGCTAAATCCTTGCCCCTTTTCTGTAGTATTGGGTGACATTCCCTTACAGTGTTCTTGGAAAGCATTACCAATGCTATTGTGAAATGATTGGCATCCAGCACTGTATAATCTCAGTCTGTGAGTTGTGTGCATAAGAGTGTGAGGATCCTGAATTCCCTTCAAAGGTTTGCTGCCATTTTAGATGTCCGAAGTCTGTTTTGCACAGCCGTTGGTTCTGTCTGGGGTGTATGCTGGTTTCTGAATCTTGCCTTGCACCCAAGAAGCAAGTTTGCATATTCTGTCTAGTCTGACAGACCTTCCTCAGGCTCCTAATTTAAATGGTAATAAGTTTTTGGTTACTCACTGGAGGGGAGTCTCCCGAGTAGCAGAGAGCCTTGTTGATGTTACCACCTGGTATATTCAAGGATTCAAAAGAGTGAGCTCCGACTTAGGAGCACCCTCTTTATGCCGGATTCTACCGCACAGGAGATGGTTGGGAGTCCTCAGGGTCCCCTTCCTGGACCTTTTGAAGGTGGCCTAATCAATAAAGGCTTATGCAGGTTTTGAGCCTAACTTGCCACTTCCATCCAAGGCAAGAGTGGGGGGAAAGGCTTCTGGTTAAGTCATCCTTTGTTTTATTGTGTTCAGTACTGTGCCTCTCCGCTGGTTTCGGCTAGGAAAATAGTTGGTTTAATATGAGTTTTGTCAAAAGGCTCTCAGTTTTGCACCCTTCGTTTCACACAAGGGGCTCCCTGTTTTCCATGCTTTCTGGAAAAGAGTTTTGTGTCCAGAATATCAAGGGCAGGGGTCCTTTCCTGCAGGAGCGCACAGGAGCAGAGCTCCGGCAGTAAAGAGCCCAGTGGGCGGGCACATGCAACAAGCCCCACCCCCTGCTCCCAGCAGCCCTCAGTCAGAGCAAGAAGCAGCCAGGTAAGTTGCAGAGCCCCCCCTGGCCCCCCGGTCCAAAACAGTCCAGTGGCACCTTTAAGACCAAGTTTTATTCAGGTACAAGCTCTCCCTCCTCTGCGAGGGCAGATCTACACGTCGTGTCCGCCCCCCCCCCCCCCCAATAGCTAGCAATTCAAAACAGTCCAGTGGAGCCTGAGCGGTGGGTGTTGCCTTCTGACACACTTCCGGTGATGTCAGGGTGTGTGGCATATGCAAATAAGTTATGCTAATGAGTTGTGCTCATGAGCTCCTGCACCTCTTTTTCTACAAAATGACCCCTGACAAGGGGGTATCCAGAACCTGGGAGAGACAGACGAGGTTTAAGAGTTGCTTTTAAAGCAGATGTTCCCTTCAGTTTGTGTTTCGTTTGAGGGCATCCATGTGTACCTTAACAATTTGGTGAAGTTAGCTGGGGAGAAATGTTCCTTGGAGCTGATTAAGACGCTGTATAGACTTGGACGATTGCTGTGCGTGCGTGCGCGCGCACACGCACACACACACACACACACTGAATTTAAAAGCAGATTTTTTAAAAAAAGAGAGAGACAATATTGTTGCAGTGATTCTCTCCCAGCTGGGAGCAGTGATCTTCATCTAAAGAACTGGCATTCAGTATTATTCATGACGACATTTGATTAGTTCTTCTGCCTACTGGCAGTTTTAAATTATTGATTCTAACTAGTGGTTTTTATGTATTCTATTGTATTTTTATTATTATTTACATTGTAAGCTACCTTGAGTTCTTGTAAGGTACAAAGGTAGCCAATAAATGTGATGGATGGATGGATGGATGGATGTTCTCCCAGTTTAGAGTCCATGCTCCTAACCACTACACCAAACTGGGTGGGTGGATGGATAGATTCAACAAAATATGGTATGTAAGGAGTTGGATCCCATAGATCCTGCGGCACAAGGGGCCTTCTTCCTCTGATGCAAGAGCCTCATGCATCAGTGGAAAGCTCTCTGCACTGGCAGCAAATGCCCCCAATGCCTGGATGCCACTGTGCCATGAATGTGCTGGTGTGAGTTTCAGCACTCCTGTTGGGCCCACCTGCCTCCCACCACACCTCACATCGGCAGCACGGCTTACGATACCGAGTCATGCTGCAGCTGGGCACCGCTCTCCCAACACCCGCCAGGACTCTCCTCTTGCCCTCTCTCCGGCTTTGTGTCTCACACACACTGAAAAGAAGGACAAGAGGACCTTGGTGATGGGAAGACCGCAGACAAGGTGCTTGTCATCAAAAACAGCAACAAGGATTTCCTCTGTTGCAGCTCAGCAGCTTCCTGTCTCAGTAGTTTCCAGCAGTGTCTCCCACACAGGTTGCGCATGCAGTGTTTTTTAATTGGTTTTTAAATGCCATGTCTATTCAGTTTCTACAATTGCTTTGTTTAGTTTTATTTCTGAATAGTAAATCAGTTTTTTGAACCTGGCGGGTTTGTTAAACCTATCTGACAAAGGGAGTTTTGCGTCTGGAAGGCTCTTCCCTGTCCCCCATTCTTGTTGGTCTCCCAGGCGGTGCTGGACTCGAATCCGGCTCTTCTACCGCAGACCAACACGGCCACCCTCTGAAACGTTCTGAACCTTGAAATTAAACCATTTTAAAAACAACAGTTCTCTCTTACTGTTTGCTAGAAAAAGAATGAATTGCCTGAATACAGCCATTTCTGCATATCTGTAGACTTGGGGTGGCCAAACTTGCTTAATATAAGAGCCACATAAAATAAACGTCAGATGTTTGAGAGCCGCAAGACATAAACAAGCATCACACGTTTTTATTGGAAAATATTCAGATTTGCTTGTTATTAACATTAAGTGAGACTGCCAGAAATAAAAACAAATGGGGTTAAAAACAGATATTGATAATGATATTTATTTATCCAGTGATATTTGTAGGTGGAGGGGGGCTTTGAGAACTCATTTAAAGTTAGTTGCTTTCTTTCTCTGCTTCCCCCCACCTCAACCCTACCCAGGGAGGGGAACACTGGCTGGGGAATGGAAGACCCATTGTGGAGGCATGCCTCTCCTTCGCTCCCCCAGCCGCCCTGCCGGGAGCCGCACAATATGTGTGTGCAGCGGGGGCTCCCAGCGGGCGGCGTGAGCGTGCGTACCACATCCACATCGCCCGGAAGTGACGCGGGCACGCTGGGGGCTGGGCCACGACCATCCAAGGGGGAAACAGAGTTTCCCCCTCGGATGGTTGTGGCCCCGCCCCCAGCATGCCCGGCGTCATAGCGTCACTTCCTGGTGACGCGCACGCTGGGGTGGGGTTCCCCCCCGGGGCCCGATGCGACGGGGAACGGGCCTCTGGGGCGGGGGTTTCCCCGCCCCCCCGGGGGGACTTGGCAGCCCTATTTGAAAGTGAGTTTCTTTCCTGTAAAGTATTTTTGAAAGAATGTAATCTCCGTGTTAACTTTTTTCTGCTCTTGTAGTTGTTGTTGTTGTTAGTTTTGCATTTACGTTTTCTATAATAATAATAATAATCTTTCAATTTATTGATCGCTCAATCCTTGCAGAGCTGCCGGCTCTGAGCGATTTACAGTTATTCATGTGTTGACACGGGACTAACAATGATGGGGGTAAGGGAGGACAACATATATCATTTTCTCAGCTCCGATATCTTTTCCCTTGACAGGTCACCTTAGGGAAAGTGTTAAAAGTCATCGTGGTGATGCGGAGCCTCTTCATCGACCGAACAATCGTAAAGGGGTATCACGAAAACGTCTACACAGAAGATGGCAAGGTGGGTGTTGCTTTCTCCCCTCCCTTCATTGTAGAAAGAGAGAGAGAGTGTGTGCGTGTGTGGGGACATAAGCGGGCAAGAGCAGAAAATCAGGTCTCCGGAACCAACATGCAGCTTGCCCAAGAAGCGACGCTGATACTATGCAAAGCATTTAACTTTCAATTTAAATAATTTCTCTCCTGTTTTATTTCTACACCCGTGCATCTGCCAGCTCTCCAAGCCCTCCTGCCCTTGCTTGAATTTCTAATTCCTCACCTTAGACCCCTGTTTGCCTCATTATTAGCATCTACCGGTGGGAATGTGTTTTCAGAGTGCTTGAGAGCATCAGTAAGCCAGGATTCTGTATTCCGCCCTTTCTCCCCCCCACCCAACCACTGGGTTATGTTGTACCAGTTGTACGGTCAGCTAGATAAACTCCATGGTGAGAAATTATGGTCCAGTCCTAAGCTGGTTGTGTCTGACGGGGGTACTGTATTTTGGATTGCAGCTATTAAAGTAATGTGTAACCTGTTTCCGTGAGCGATTTGCTTTATGAAACACTCACCCTGCTTGAACCCCTAATTTCTCTTGGCTGCACGCACTCCATATGGCTTTCTGTGGAGCGTTAGAGGATGCTAATGGGACCTGACAGCCTTCAGCTCGGTTTGTTTCTCTCTTCCGAGTAGAATGGGCTCTTACCGAGGCACCCGCCCAGAGCTCACCTTTTCCCAGGAACAAGAACTAAGCGCTTCTGTCTCTCCCAGTCTTCCCCTTGCTCTCAATATCTCTTTCCTTATTATGAATCCCATTAAAATACAAAGTTCATTTCAACCAGGCAAGTACTTGGCACCCATAGGCCATGTTATAATGAGGAGAGAATAATTTTTTTTTTAAAAAAGAGAGTTTCTTTATAACACACAACATTGTGTTATGTACTGACACCCCCCCAGCTCCTATCTGTCAAAAAATAAAGATCCGCTGCTCTGCCAGAAAGAGCACGTAGTTCCGTTTTCCAGGTAAAAAGAATCTCCTGCTAAGGGAGAGATCTCAGCAGATGTCCAAGATCGCCCTGTCTTTAAACCAGATTGCCTAGTAACACCCAGGCTGTGATCGCGACATGGTTCAGAATTTCTCAAAGATCCAAGAGGCAGGAAATGTGCCGCCCTCGCCCTGACATTGATTGACAGCGCAAGGCCAAAAAGGATTGTGGGTTTCTCCTGGGAACCTTGCCCAGTGGGGAGCCGTGTGCATACCACAGATAGATGGATGCAGAACGCTGGCTCTGTGGACTGCTGGAATGAGGCTCTCTCACACCTATCTTAAGGAAGTTCTTTGCATTTTTGCAGCCAAGGTAAAGCAGACAAGAGGCTGTTGAGGGGATGGAGCTCTAACAGCGTTCTATCCAAAGCCCCATTTTTACACACAAACGTCAGTCTGGCTACTGAAGCAGAGCTGGAGCCATCATCTCAGTTCTGCCACCAGCCATACAGGAGCGAGTCTTGAGCTTGCGCCTGCTCCGCCTCTCTGCACACATACCGTCTCCCTAGCTGTTCCTTGCTGTGTCTTAGACCAGACTGGAACACTGAACTGGAAACCCATTTATTTAGTATTTCTATCCCGTTTTGCTCCCCAATGGGAACCCAAAGCAGCTACAGGGGAAAATAGCTTGAACAGATTTACAAACACAGTATACAAAACAACCAAAAACCAAAACAAGCAAAAAAGTAAATAAGACGTCCTCGACTGATGTCCACCGGGTCAGTCCAACTGGCCAAGGCCACAGACTAATAGGCATGGACAAATCCCCATTTACGTAGCTTCTTTTAGTGCCTGGGGGGGGGGTTATTAATCTGAGCAGTGACTGATTGTGACTGAAGACCCACGTTCCACACATCAACCGCAGTTGCAAACGGAGATGAGAGGTTGAGTTGAACTTGCCTTCTTTATGGCATCTTCTGGGACGATGCAGTTAAAGTAACTTCTGTCCTTGCTGGTTTCCTTCCTTCCTTCCTTCCTTCCTTCCTTCCTTCCTTCCTTCCTTCCTTCCTTTCTTTCTTTCTTTTTAATTTTCATTACATTTATACCCCGCCCTTCCCACAAGCGGGCTCAGGGCGGCTTACACGAGCACAAAGTGCATATAAATTACAGTATAAAAATACATAAAAGCAATTTAAGAATTCACTTCCATTCCGGATGCAAGAGAGAGAGGAAAAACACACTCCACGTTCTGCATAGCAGGGAAGGCTTGGGCCCCGTTTAGATGTCACACGGTCTTCCGGTGGTAGTACTCTCTGGAGAACGGGGATGGTAATCCCAGTAGCAGTGGCGGCTCCTACTCATTCGCCTGGCGGAAGAGCTCCATCTTACAGGCCCTGCGGAACTGCAAAATGTCCCGCAGGGCCCTGATCTCTTCCGGGAGCTCGTTCCACCAGATAGGAGCCGCCACTGAAAAGGACCTGGCCCTTCTAAACGGACACCATGAAGGAAGCATTTAAGTTGGACAAGGTTATTTCAGTTTGTCAGCTCCCAGTGTAAATGGATGAAACAGAGGGAAATGGGCAGAAAAGGAACAGCTTGTCCAAATAAAAACCCTTGTCTAAGCGTGAATTCTACCTGTCAAATATTCAAAGAAAAGTTAAGTTGAGGAGGGTTTTGGGGAGAGGTGTGCCATGTAGCTATCCTAGGGGAGAGTTCCAGGTGCAAGTGGGAAGCAGGGTAGAGTAAGAATTTATTATTCTTGCCAAGCTAAAGATAGGCAACGCCGAGTGACATCTGGTGATATTTGTATTGTATGGTAGTCATTGGAAAGGCTTATGGTCTGTGCTAGTTTGCTTGTGGCATAATGCTTCTCTCTCTTCCTTGGGCGGGGGTGGGGGGGAGCAGTTGCGGTTTTTGCAAAACCCAGAGATACCTGCTTTCCATTTTCAGCCAGTTCCAGCTTGGATTCTTCTGCAGTCTCCTCTGGCCCTACCACAGGACTGATGCATTTTAATTAGCCATGTAGCAGTTGGTACTGGTGGCATCGTGCCACCCATAATTTCAGGCATATTCTTTCTGCGGCACAGTCTGAATATAGCAGGCAATTGCCGCTGGTGATATTCAGGTTCCCAAATAAACAAACCTCCGCAGCTCACCCTTTGGGGCAGACTTCAAGCCGAACCATTAGTTGCCTGCCCAGTTTTGCTAATAAAAATCACGACTGCATTGGAATTTCTCTGCCAGTCCTGGCTTGCCTTGTGTGAGTGCTGTAAGTGAGGCAGGGTCATGGCAGAGACGTGGGAATGGGCATCCTGAAGTACTGGCAGAGCGAACAGCTCAGGTACGCACCAGGTGGACCCAGGGTCTCGGTCGAATTGGCACATTACGCAACCTGGGTTATGTTAATGCCACTGCTTCATTAATTACCCCATATCAGTAAGAGAAGGCAGTTTTTTGCCTCCCAGCCTAAGTGAGGAGAAGAAATAGTGGTATCAAAGGAAAGCTTCAAAGACAGCCAGAACCGTCTCTGGAGTAATTTCTGATCCCTGCATTCTTTCCACTTCAAAGCAGGGTGTGTGTGTGTTTGGGTAAAGGGGAGGGGGGTTGAATCCGATTTCTCTAATAAGTGTTGGCACCAGCCCTGTTTGATATTAGATGCGGGGAACATTTTGATTTGTTATCGTCTTTGAAATCGTTCAGACGACCTTCAGAAAATGGCCTCTTGTTACTTGCGCCAGGGGTGGGTGGGGAGCGTGGGGCACTGGGAGAAAGAGAGAGAGAGAGGCCCAATTTAATTCGCATGCAGAGGATGCCTTGAAATTGTGCTTTCAGCAGCTTTTTAGTTACAAATGTGTGTCTTGATTGAAAGTGAAAAGTTGAAGAATAATAGACCTGCAACAATGCATTGTTTAGCACACCCGCCTCTCGTGTCTGGTTTTCATGTTGGAGGGGTTGCACTCCTTGCATATCGTTCCTGTCTTTGCATTCAAAACCTCGAAGGCCATTGAAAATTGCAGGAATTTAATTACATCGGGGCTCTTCAGCCCCCAGTGCAAAAGAATTATAGTTCGGTATTTAGCTGGTTTGTATCTCAGCATTACTCTTTTTCAGCGCTATTTGATTTTTTTTTAAAATGAAAGGACGAAGGGAAGACTGATAGACTTAATCTGGTGTAAAGCCATGCTACTCAAATTGACAGGTTTGGCTGAAGGGGGGTTGGGTCAACAGACGTCTGGGTTATTTTTATGGACAGACCCATCAATGTCCCCAGCTGAGAGCATCCAGAGGCTCAGGGCTAGCTGCACAGACTAGCGCATTTTTGTTTTTTCCTGTTTGGATACTCGTACCCAAAGAGGATTTCAGCATTCCTGTCTCCATTTTATCCTCAAAACTACCATGTGAGCAATGTTCCCTCTAAGCTGTGGTGTCTTGTGAGCAGAAATTCTACTCTGTGAGCTGCTGGCATTAAAGTTGTGAGCGAGCGATTTGGCTCCTGCATGAATTAGTTTGCTCTGGAGCCATCCCTTCCTGAGCTAAGACAAAAATGTGTGAGCCGGAGGCTAAAAAACTGTGAGCTAGCTCACACTAACTCAGCTTAGAGGGAACACTGCATGTGAGGTAGGTGAGGTAAGAGACGGCAACTGGTCAAAGTCACCCAGTGAGCTTCCGTGGCAGAGTTGGGATTGGAATCTGGGTCTTCCATATTCCTTTTTTTCCTTTCCTTTTCTTTTTTTTTTTCCTTTCGGTTCCCCCCCCCTTCCTTCCCCCCCCTTTTTTTGACCACTCTTCCCCCAGATGGGGCGCAGGGCGGTTTACAACATTCAATAGCATTTCAATAAATAAGGTAGAGGTTTCCCTTGCTCGAAAGCCAGTCGAGTCTGACTCTAGGGTTGCGGTGCTCATCTCCGTTTCCTCCTTTTTTTCTTTTCCTTTTCTTTTTTTTTTTTCTTCCGGTCCCCCCCCCCTTCCTTCCCCCCCCTTTTTTTGACCACTCTTCCCCCAGATGGGGCGCAGGGCGGTTTACAACATTCAATAGCATTTCAATAAATAAGGTAGAGGTTTCCCTTGCTCGAAAGCCAGTCGAGTCTGACTCTAGGGTTGCGGTGCTCATCTCCGTTTCCAAGCCGAAGAACCAGCGCTATCCAGAGATGTTTCTGTGGTCATGTGACCGACTTGACTAGACACCAAGGTGCACGGAACGCTGTTACCTTCCCACCGCAGCGGCACCTATTCATCTACTTGCAATTTCTTGTTTTCGAACTGCTAGGTTGGCAGGAGCTGGGACTAGAGACGGGAGCTCACTCCGTCATGCGGCACCCGGGTCTCGAACTGCTGAACTACCGACCTTCCGGTCTGCTGTTCAGCGTCTTAACCACTCGAGCCACCGCAGCCACCTATTTCAATAAATACAATTATACAAACAGATTAGAAATTTAAAACAATAAAATCAGTTATTTCAGATGGCGTTTGAACTATATGTGTCCTACCCCTTGTAAAAGTGGAGAGATGAAGGAGGCCAGTCTCGATGTTCAACCATCGCTGTCTTCAACCTTAGGCCTGGCGGAAAATCTCTGTCTTACAGGCCCTGTGGAACTGAGTTAGGTCCCACAAGGCACGGATATCATTAGGCATAGAGTTCTACCAGGCTGACACCAGGGTCTTTTTGGCCCTGGCTCTGGTTGAGGATAGCCAGATATCCCTTGGGCCAAGGATCACCAGGAAGTTCTTCTCTCCAGAGCATGGTGCTCTTCAGGGGGTGTATCAGGAGAGGCAGTCCCGTAGGGATGTTGGTCCCAGACCATTTAGTGCTTTGAAGGTTAGTGGTTAAGTGTGCAGACTCTAATCTGGGAGAGCCGGGTTTGATTCCCCACTCCTCCACTTGCAGCTGCTGGATGACCTTGGGCAAGCCATAGTTCTGTCAGAACAGTTCTTGAAAGAGCTCTCTCAGCCCCACCTACCTCACAGGGTGACTGTTGGGGGGAGGGGAGGGGAAAGGAGTTTGTAAGCCGCTCTGAGACTCCCTTGGATAGTGAAGGGTGGGGTATAAATCTAATCTCCTCCTGCTCTTCTTCTTCTTCTTCTACCAAAACCTTGAACCTGATCCGGTATTCAAACTGGAGCTAGTGTAGCTGCCGTAGCACCGGTTGCATATGTGCTGTTAGTGGGGTTCCAGTAAGGATCGGGGCCACTGCATTCTGGACCAGTTGTAATTTCCGGGTCAGTCTCAAGGGTAGCCCTGCATAGGTGCTACTGGACTCTTGCTCTTTTCTACTGCTACCTCATGGGGTTGTTGTGAGGATAAGATGGAGGAGAGAATGCTGTAAGCTGCTGAAAAGTACTCGGAAACGTGGAGTGATTCAGCAAGAGTACTTTATTCGATCAGAACAAGACAAAGTACACCGGCACGCAGGCCGGTATATATGCCCCAGAAACCCACCAACAAAACACACCCCCAATTCCCTTATAGGTTGCTACAGTAGCCGAGAGTCCCATAGGCTCTCGGCAGCGGACCTGGCCCTCTGATTGGTGCGGGCCAGGATCCGCTTGGGCTATTGTCCGAAGGAATGAAGCTATGAACTAACGCTGGACTGCATGGCCCAACGGTCGCGCACGTGGTCGTGGTGGATACATTACAGCTGCTTTGAGTTCCTATTGGGGAGAAGAGTGAGGTATAAATGAACTAAATAAACTTCAAACCTAGTGACATTTTAAAATGGATTTACTGATAAAGGAACACTGTGTCTGGGGAAGTGGTGCTCTGTATTCTTGGTGCTTGGGGGGCAACAGTGGAAGGGCTTCTGGAGTTCTGTCCCCTCTTGATGGCCACCTGGGTTTTGGCCACTGTGTGACACAGAGTGTTGGAGTGGATGGGCCACTGGCCTGATCTAACGTGGCTTCTCTTATGATCTCGACAAGAGAGGTAAAACCAGAGCTAATGCACAAGATACTGGAACCAAAAAAGGACAGGCTGTCAATCACTGCAATTTTGTGGAGCTGGACTGATCCTCGTAAGCTGTCCTTGATCAGTCTGGGACTTTTAGTAGTAGTGGAACAACAGTCTATATGATACCTTACATGTTACGTAGGAGTTCATTTGCAAACATCTACTCCCTTCCATCTTCTAAAACCTGGTCAAAAGCTTTGTTTCCTGGCCTGTTAGTGTCATATCATGTTGTTCTTTCAGCCACGTCGCTCCTGAAACGTAGCAGACATCTGAAATGCAGATATATAACAATATCCTGTGACCTTAACTTCTGCTTAACAAAGATCTCCCCTCACCACCATTTTTGGAGTCTAAATGCAGTATTGAAAGCAGGGAGGATTTTATCCGCTCCCCGTAGGCCAGCTTTTCTGGCTTAATTCAGCAAACTTTTCTGTGTCGGTTGTCACTGAATTGCTTATTTTGTGGACACAAGAACAGCGCCAAGGAATGCTTTAGGAGAGATGCCCTTGTTGTAGACACAGTTCTGAAGCTGTTAAATATTCACATGGATCAGCACAATCTGTTCCAAATGAATTGAAGCGATCTTGCTGCCTGGGAGGAGGTGTGGTAGCCCAAGAGGGCTTGTTTGCGTGTTTTTATACAGTGGCTGTACTGAAAAATGCAACTGTGGGACAAACTTTGCTCCAGCAAGATCCTAAGATATCCATGCAAAATGAAATGCTTCTGCAGTAGAAGAAAGGAAAGCCGTCTGCCAGGTCTCTGGCTTATTCGGTCCAAGCGCTAGGATAGAATTAGCCCTCTTGCAGGACCTGGCTATCCATCTTCTTATGAGCTGTCAGTCCCCCTAATGTGCACGTGGAGAGGGATGGAAGTGTCAAGAATTGCTTTACTGAATGCAAGCAGTTAGGGCAGTCCTTTAGTTGTGGTCAGGGGTCATTTCGTAGAAAAAGAGGTGCAGGAGCTTATTAGCATGACTTATTTGCATATGCCACACCCCCTGACATCACTAGAAGTGTGTCAGAAGGCAACACCCACCGCTCAGGCTCCACTGGACTGTTTGGGATTGCTAGCTATGTGGGGGGGGGACGAACAGATCTGCCCTCACAGAGGAGGGAGAGCTTGTACCTGAAGGCGGGCTGGGGGGGGAGCTCTGTAACTTACCTGGCTGCTTCTTGCTCCTCGTGGCCCAACTGAGGGCTGCTGGGAGCAGGGGGTGGGGCTTCTTGCATGTGCCCAGCCCCTTGGCTCCATACTGCTGGAGCTCCGCTCCTGTGCACTCCCGCAGGAAAGGACCCCTGGTTGTGGTATCATAGTCAGTATCATCTACTCAGACTGGCAGCAGCTCTCCAGGGTTTCAGGTGGAGGTCTTTCACATCACTTGCTGCCAGATTCTTTAACTGGAGATGCCAGAGATTGAACCCAGGACCTTCTGTGTGCCAAGCAAATGCTCTGCTGCCGAGCCACACCCTCCTCCCCACTTTAATGGTGGTTAAAAGATCGGGAACAGAGTATAGGGCTCGACACTGCTTCCCCCTCCTACTTTGGTACAAATTCCCATCAACCTTCACTATAGCTGAACATTATATTAATGCAGATGTTAACTGTGTTTAATTCTAAAGAGGGTTCACAACTGGTTAAAAATCATGGTTAAGATTAAAACCTAGTTAGTATTAGCCATGATTTAATACTGGAACTTGTGTAGGCCTTAATGGTAGCTTGTTTCCTCTCCTCACTGCAAATCACCCCCCCCCCCAATTAACTTTCAGCTACAATGTCTGTCGTGGCTAATGCCAACTAGAGTTTGCTCACCTGCCCACAGACCCTATGGCATCACCACCAGCCCACTCTGTAGAATAAAAATTTCCTAAACTAAATTGAATTGGCATTGTTCGTTTTGATGGGTGTTAATAGTTTAGATCAGGGATGTCGAACTCATTTGTTATGAGGGCCGGGTCTGACATAAATGAGACCTTGTCGGGCCGGGCCATGTGTGTCATAAAATGTAATGCCAGGTAGTGGAGAGATATAAACTTTATAAAAAGACACAAACACAAAGATTTTTTTTTTACTTAAAATAAAAACACGCTTAAAACATTAGCTCTGTAAGCTGCAAGCCTAATTTTGATTTATCGACATTCACCACAGAAATCTCATGCTCAGCAGGGGTCATTTTGTAGAAAAAGAGCTAGGGGAACTCATTAGCATAACTCATTAGCATATGCCACACCCCCTGACATCAGGGGCCTGGCGGTGGACCTCCAAGGCCAGCGGGAGTGCGAGGAAGCCCCGCGAAGGCCCTCCCTGGCCCCAGGCAGGCAGGGGTGGGGAGAGGCGGGGAGGAAGCAACTTACCCTCCCTCTTCTCCTGCCTCCTCCTGGCTGAATGAGGGCTGGAAGCGGGGCGGCCGGAAGCAGGGGGCGGGGCTTCGTCATGTGCCTCGCCCCCCTGCACCTCACCCGGGGGAACTGCGTTTCCCCGCGTTCCCCCCTGAAATGACCTCTGATGCTCAGAGTTCTGAGTCTAGGACCCAGGTTAAAACATGAAATGGCCGAGTGATTAAGAGAGTCTGGCGAAGCAAACTATGATGCAGCAACAGAACTGGAAGCAGGAGATGGCCAGTCTAATGAAAGCCGTCTGGGGGCCTGATCCAGCCCCTGGGCCGCATGTTTGACACCCATGGTTTAGAGCTAACTGTTGGTTAAACCGAAAGTGGACGTGAAGCCGAACTTCCAAGTATTGATGCATCTTAATAAGAGGTTTTGTTTTTCTTCCCCACAGCTTGACATTTGGTCCAAGTCCAACTATCAAGTATTCCAGAAGGCAAGTCACTCTTTCTTACTAGCACCCGTGTGTGTGATGTGCTCCTTTTCATATAGTCTCCAAATAATTAAGGTGTGGAGTACTCTGCTCTGGTTAGACCTCACCTAGAGTGTTGTGTTCAGTTTTGGGCACCACAGTTTAAGAAGGATATAGACAAGCTGGAACGTGTCCAGAGGAGAGCAATGAAGACGGTGAGGGGTCTGGAGACCCTATGAGGAAAGGTTGAAGGAGCTGGGTATGTTTAGCCTGGAGAGGAGACGGCTGAGAGGTGATTTGAGAACCATCTTCAAGTACTTGAAGGGCTGTCATCTAGAGGATGGAACAGAGTTGTTTTCTGTTGCCCCAGAAGGTTGGACCAGAACCAACGGGTTGAAATTAAATCAGAAGAGTTTTCGGCTGAACATTAGAAAGAACTTCCTGACAGTTAGAGCAGTACCTCAGTGGACCAGGCTTCCTCAGGAGGTGGTGGGCTCTCCCTCTTTGGTGGTTTTCAAGCAGAGGCTAGATGTCCAACTGACAGCAATGCAGATTCTGTGAACTTAGGCAGGTCATGAGAGGGAGGGCGGGAAGGGTTGCCTCAGTGCTTAGTTCTTGTGGCCCTTTTTTACATGCCCAGGGAAATGCTGATTGCCACTTTGGGGTCAGGAAGCGATCCTGGAGGTTTTTTGTCATCTTCTGGGCATGGAACAGCGGCCACTGGGGGTGTGGAGGAGGAGGTATTTGTGAATTTCCTGCATTGTACAGGGGGTTGGACTAGATGACCCTGGAGGTCCCTTCCAATTCTATGATTCTGTGAGTGTTTTAGCTGCCACTTGAATTGTGATGTGCAACTTCAAGGGGAGAAATACTTAAATCCTGTGCCATCGACTTATATGATGAATATGTCGATCTTTTAACTCCAGGTTACATAGGCTGGTGAATGAAATAAGGATGGCAAAGTGTTTTGTCTGTTCGGAGTCCTAAAGGTAGAAATGTAAAGCTGCTGGAAATTTTGAAGCCACAAAAGAGTTTGTTTTCTCCTGAGTTCCCCCCCCCCAGAGGAAAAGATAGAAAGGGGGGGTATTGAAGTATAAGCAATAGTTACATCCCTGTGAAACCTATACAGATATCTTTAATTTTTGTTATTTGAGAAGTGGGGAGAAAAAATAACTTGAAGGCAGGAAACAAATGCTGCAGTGAACAAAACTGTATTATTTGGACAGAGACTCTCATGCAGTCACAATACGTAGGGCTGCCAGGGTGTTGGGATATTAAGCTAAACTTTGAACACTGAAAACATCAAACTTTTAAATAATGTATGACCATTAAACATATTATAATATATTAATTGTAGGCAACAATATTTACATTTCAACAAAAACATTCTTGCAAATGGGGGTGCACATGTATAAGTGGGTTTTTTCCTTCAGTGCTCCCCAAAACTCCCCAATATTGTCATTGGAAGAATTGAGAGAGCCCTCAGGCTTTTTCGTGATGTACATTTGGGGTGATTTAAATGCTTTCTAGGATAGTGTTTTTCTCATCTATTTTAGAGGAGGTTCGTTTCAGCGCTTCCCTACGTTCCCCCGTTTTTCCCCTGGAGAAGTTTAGAAAGGCCTCGGTCTTTTAATGGAGGAGCCTGGGTCACAAAATGACTAATGTGAGCAAATGGGCTAGCGTTTCCAGGTGTCAGCAAGCTGCCATGGTGTTCTGTGTTGCTGGTACTTCGGTACAGTTGTTCCTCCCCATCCCCCTCCTTCCCTGCCTGTGAGCTGTTGTTGTATTCTGCTGTAATGCATAAGCCAAACAACTGGAGGTCGTCTTGTGGGAGTTCGCTTCATTGCTGGCTTGTTGCTTTTAGAGCCTGAGAACTGCACCTGTATATGTCTGGAGATAACTGAGTTCCCAGGGAAAGGGCGCGCAACCGTTTCCCCTCGCCCGCCAGCGGGAATGTGACCCATTGGTTCTGTATCTGTTTCAAATCCCTTTATTATGCTTGCCCTTATGGTTTGTAGTCAGTTCTAACAAAGAACGTGTTTGAGTGTCTTTCCAACGCTTTGAAATAAATTTTGCTTTTCTCGAAAACGTGGATTTATTCTCGATGCTTGGGGATCCAACATATTGTTAGAACTGACTTTCTCCTATCGTCCCGAATCTGACACGATCATGAGCGGGACCGAGGGAACAGTACCTACAACGGAGGGGGACACGGGATCGGTCCCTACAACCTCCACGGCATTGATCACCACGACCACCATACCCACGTTCGGCGCGGTGGGGGGAGCGATTCCCCGGTTACCTGCGTACCTTTCTTGGCCGCCACCAACACCCTCGCGATGGGCCACCCTCGCGATGGGGCCCGAGGTCGGTACCGGCGCAGGAGGATTGGACTTTGTATAATGCCAAGGGCACCAGAGAGGTGTACTCCCGCAGAGGAAGTGGACTTCGGGAGAGTTTGTTTGACAAAGGCCTTTACCCCGAACCAGAGAGACCAGCGGTAGCTGGGATGGGTCAGCGGGAAGTGGAAGACTGGATGTATGAACCCCTTGGGGAAGGGGCCCGAGCGGGGTCCCAGGAGGGAGCGTCGGCCCCTCCAAGCGAGGGGGACTATGAGCCGCCACCGACATACCGGCAAGCCGAGCGCCTCTCGGAGGAGGGGACGGGTGAGCGGCTGAATGAACTGGAACAATCGGTACGGGACATGATGAGGACTTTAAACGATGTGTTTGAAGCTCTACCGGGGATGATGGACATTCGCATGGCTAATCTCTTGGCGGCTCATGCCCCGCCACAGCCGGCCGCGCCGGCCCCTCCAGGTCCGGGCGCAC